TTGGGCAGATCTGCCAGGAAGAACAGGCTTCCTTGCCAGGCTTGAGGAGTGGGGGGGAGGCGGAACTGTTGCCCAAGGGTGACAGCAACCCCCAGCCCCCTCTGGGTGTGCCTGCAGGGCAAGAAAGAAGCCAGTCTTGGCAGAGACCAGAGAGTCCATGCAGGAAGAAAAAAGGCAGGCTGGCTTGAACGCGAGCAGGCAGAATGCCAGTGTGTCCTTCACTTGTTGTGGCACTCCCCTTCACCCTTGGTGGCAAGGGCTGCTTCATAACGCAGGCGAAGGCTGCCCCTCCCTCTGCAGGACACAGGGGGGGCCCTCCCCGCAGCCTGGGATGAAGCTGAGTCCGCTGGCCTGAGACGGCGGAGTTGGTGGGCGCAGATAGGAGCGCGCTCACCTTGGTCTCCCTGAGTGCAGGACTCCACCATTGCCATTGCTCCTGTCAGGCTCGCCCCCCCCCCCCCGGCTGACTCCCAAGGTAGGAGGCAGCGGCCAGTTCCCCCTGCCCTCCAGATCGTCAGCATGGGTAACAAAGTGAAGACAAAGCACTTTTCAGCTCTGGTCAGCCGGCAAGAAGAATGAGCCGGCATCTTCACGCATGCGCATCCCTTGGACTTATAAGTCCAAGGAATGCGCAATGCACATGCCCGCAAAATGGCAGTTTTCTGCCCCCACCCACCGCTATGCTCCCAGGGGTTGCCTGCTTAACTAGGTTTCCCATTGTGGTGCAGTGGAAGTCTGCAGCGCCTTCATGCCCCACCTGGCTTTTGGAAGAGCGGGTCAAAGGGCTCCATTGGGGCAGTTGGCACCCAGCGGGTCCCCGCCAAGTGGGCGAGGATATCCTAGCTTGCATGCTGGAGTTAGGGCGCCTTTAGGCTTGCGGCTTTCTCATTGCTATTGCAAACCGGGCAGGGAAGGCGCCGTCCAATGCCCATTGCCTTCTACCCGCAGCAGCAATGAGGCTTGGGGCCCAGAGTGGGCCAGCACGGCCACCCCACCAAGATGAGCTCTTTCTTCAAAAGGCGGCAGAGAGTGGTGGGCACAGCTGTTGTGGGTGGAAGGTGCTGGGCATCAAGTGGTGCTGTCCCTGCCTGGTTTGCAGTGGCGCCAAGAAAGCCGCAAGCCTAAAGGCACCCTCGCAGATCAGCTCCACTTGGCCCGGCGGGGTGTGTGTGTGTGTCACCAGGCTTTGGGCCAGGACACACGAGAAGTGGTGCCGAGAAAGTCACAATCCTAAAGGTGCCCTCGCAGGTCAGCCGCGCTTGGCTGGGCAGGGTGGTCGCGAGGCTTGGGGCCCGGAGCGGGCCAGCACGGCCACCCCACCGAGAGGAGCAGATGCCTCTATTGCCTCTGAAAGCGGCAGGGAGCGGCGGGCATGGCTGCTGCGAGTGTGAGTGGAAGGCGCTGGGTCCGTGGCCTTCAAAACAGCCATTATCTTCCTCTCTGGGCTCCATCTTCCAGGCAGACGGAGCAAGAGCCCAGGTCCAAGCCCATCAGCCAGAGCTGCCACTTCAAAGAGCAGGTTGATCAGCTTGCCCCCAGCGCAGCCCAGGAGACAGCAAAGAGTCTCAGGAGGGCCTCTAGGAGCCAGAGGAAGCCGTTTTCACCCTTCCCAGGCTCCTAGAAACCCAGTCCATCGCAGGCCAAAACCGGGGGTGGTGTGCACAGGGAGTGTGCACATAGTATTATGGGTGTGGGCATACCTGTGCACCCCCCCCCCTGCTTTTGGCATGCAATGGCAAAAAGGTTAGCAATCCATGCCCTATACTGTGGAATATACATACATACATAAATGTAGAAATACATGTGTTACACGTAGAAATAAGTCATTGAGGCAAACATACCTAATAGAGCTGTAAACTTGCTTTCTCTAGGCCAACAGTGGCCATTCCCCTTGACTCTCTGAAAAGGAACGATCACACTGGGACCAAGAAAGGAAGCTCAGGTGAGATTAGAGAAAGGAAAGAAAAAGGAAGAAGAAAGGAAGCCAAAACCAAAGGTTTACAGGCTAAAACGTATGAAGAACAGTTACAAGAATTTGGCCTGGCTAGTCTAGGGAAGGCAAGAACTAGGTGTGACATGATAGCAGTCTACGAATACAGGAGAGGCTGTCACAAAGGGTGGGGTGGAAACAATTTTCCAAAGCACCCGAAGGCCAGAGAAGAAACTATGGGGCCACACCAGGATGAATAAAAATTAATTTTAATTTTTTTTTTAAAAAAGATCAAGATTTAAATTTGGCCTTTTTCCCCCCATTTAAATCAGCTTTTTTATTTTTAT